GTTATTTATCTGCCATATGCATTTTGTGTGAAAACTCTGAGCTTCTGCTCAGGTGTACTCTTGGTTTTAGTGAGACTACTTGCCTAAATAAGGTGGGCTGCAGGATTATGTGCCTGGTGAATCATACGGGTTTCTGAATCACTCTTACGGAATATCAGCCTGAAATACTAACAACTAATGAGCACATTGTGCTTGGACTTTTATGTTATTTAAAGAATAGCATTTTAAAGCAGAATATTTTGTAAAATGGTCATTTAAAAATCACTTTGCAATTTACTTCCATCAAACCTGTTGACCAGAAAAAATACCTCCTTCAGAAAGGAAAAGGTTGTCAGTATTGTGGAAGAATATCTGATTTTTATCCAGCTATTTGCTGTTTAAGCTCCCTTCTTTTCAGTGCAAGGAGATCAGCTGACAACAGCAGCAACTAAATCATGTTTGCAGCTGGGCAATTACAGTAGACCCTAAGATCTGCGACTGTCAACCATGAACGCAGATGCCTTCAAAGTTCTGTTTTTCTTCCATGTGGAAGTCGTTGGCATGGAACAGATGCCTTCATTTTGGAGAAACCAACCTCTGGATATAATTGGTTCTCTCTTCTCTTGTCCTCTAGGGACAGTCTCTCGCAGATGAAATTAGATGAGAGAAAAAAAAAGACACAGGCACACACGCTCACACATGACACAAAGCAGGAGTTTTCAGGATCTCTCTCTGTTTTGTCACGTGGAACTGTTTTACAGCTGGAAGATTTCACTGCATTTTTAGCACTCTACACACATGATGATGATGCTGTATGAAAAACATGCAAAATAAAATGCATATCTGGCCAAAGTTTATTATTAATCTAGGCATGCTTGTTTAGAAATAAGACAAGCATATCCAGCCCGTATTAGTTTAGTGTTAAATGTTGACTTCTGCACTATCTGTCGATGCTGCAGTCTCAGAAATTTAAAGTTAAATGGCAGAAGAGACAAGACGACTTAAAAAACTTCCGTTGTAGCGGTGGAAGCAAAGTGTTTTTGTCAGATGGTTTGCTAGTTGTTAACACAGGAGGGAAAAAGCAAGTAGTTGACTTCACATTTCGCCTAGCTTACAGGCATTCAATTAAGGAAGCATATTTACAGGAACTTTAGTGGAATTAGTCTGATGAACACCTGTGATGAGCCACTGCTGGGAGTCCTGTGGCAGTGTACTGAAGAGACTGTGTCCTCTTACTGCAGATACCTAAATTGGGATGGTGGTAATGGGACTTAAAAGGCTCTAAGAGAGTAAGAGAGAGGGAGAATCTGCCTACCCTGTGCCCATCAAAGGCTTTTGTCACCCTCTCTTCCCTCCGGTGTGACAACTACCAAATAATTGTGGTTGATGTTATTTAGTACTGTTAAAATAAATGAACACCAACTTTGGGTTACCTTAATAAGCTTGGTTGTGAACTGTGACAGTCGGGCAGTGCCGTGTAAAGAGCTGTGGTATTCTTGGGTAGAGTGGGTACCTCCAGGAGGAGGGTGCAGTGGGGATCAGGGACTGCCAGGAAGTAAATTAGCATTGCTGGTACCCAAGAGCCTGCAGATCTGTCATCTCTGAATGCTTTTTCTTTTTTACATTTTATTTCCTCCCATAAGTTTTTTTTTTGTATTGCAGTTTAACGTAACGGTCCAGTTCAATCACCAGGTATAAAATTTATGTAGGCAAATGTAACTCTTACAATGAATTGGCTGATGATCTGTTGGAGTGTGGTTGCGTGAAGATGCTGAGCCTTTGCAACAGCGTAGGTGGGTCTTGCTGGTAGCATATCGATGACCTGAATTCTGAACTTGATTTTCTGATTTTAATGGCAATTTCCATATTTTACACGAGGCATTTACTACTACCATAGTATTTCTGTCTCTTAAAAGTTGAGCAGAAATGTCACCAGCAATGAAAACTGGCAGGGATTATCTTCGTCCTACCTTGGTCAGGGTGGTTGGTAGAAGGCAACCTGCTGTTTAGACACATGATGAAACTGGATAGCTGCAGTGTGCTGCGGTCCTTTGTTTCCTGCTGACATCCACGGGCTGTGTGGGTAGAGGGCATTCACGATGACTTCCAGCAGTTAGAAAGAAGCCCGAAGTAAACTTAGTTTTGAACCGATGACTCTTCAGCTTTTATAAAGAAGTAGGGAGATTCTTTGGTGTAGGACTCCAGTTCTGATTCGCAGAACTTCAGTGCAACAGTGTGCTGCTCTTAGCACAGTATTTCTGAAGAACCACATATTAAGGGAAAAATTGAACCAGAGAAGTGCTTAGGTGATGAAGGGATTTCTGGCAGTAACTAGGAAGTGCAATAATGGTTGATTTCTTTTGAAGCTGATCCTGATATTTGTAGTCTTTACATCCTATTAATTCCTTGAAAGATAAGCTGATACAAGAATGATTTGCCAGGCCCAATGGCTCTTCTAAAAATCTTGGCTCAGGTTATATCCCTCTTCTCTCCACATATAAGATAAAAGTACTGTGAATATGAGGTTAACTGAATTCAAATAGAAGACTCTCTCGAGTTATTGCATTCCTTAGAAAATAAATACATTTCTCATATGGTTGAGATTGATCAAAAAAGTATTCTGTATGCCAGTGATTACATTCCCATCTGTGATTAAGGTTTTCTGTCTGCATCTGGTTTTCACATTATATTTCTGTAACAAGAATCCTTTATATGGCAGAGTTCACTCTCTGTATTTTCTATTAGCTGCAGCTTGAACTACTGCACGGATCGCAGATTTACACATGTGGTTTTCATTACTTCATACCATTGAGAAAAAGTAATATTTGTTTGGGAAAGTATGTTTTTCAAAATTTCCATGGTAATACAACATGTTGATCCTTTTTTATAACACTCTTGTAAGACTACAAATTGTATGAGGCATTCTACTTTCAGTGAAGTTCAGACTTTAGACAATTTTGCAGGTACATTCGAACAGCAGCAGCAGTTTACAATTCAGGAGGCAAAAATAAATTCCAAAAAAGGAGATTAGCGTAGAATAGGTATAGCAGAATGCATCCATCACGTTGGAAAATGTGGCATATAGAGAAAATGAACGTGGGGCTGAAACAAAGGAAGAGTAATAAGTTAAAGTGATGTCTTCATTGTAAAGTGGATGACAGATGAGGGTTTTTTTTTCTGAGTAAGAACTTTTTCTTTTTTACAGTAAGAGGTTTAAAAATCTTTTACCAGCCATGAAAAAGGAGTATGCTATTCAGCAGACACAAATATTGAATTGTTATATGTTACATAATTTAACATATTTGATCATAATTATTTCTAGTGGCCAAATTAGTAAAGGTTAGCAAAACATGAATACATCTTTACAGATGGCTGCTGTGTGTAATTCTGAATCCAAAATATGATGTTAATTTAATGTTCCACTGTAAGTCCATATTTCAGCCAGATTGTGCTATCGTCACTCGGTAGAAAACTTAATGTTTAAATGATCTCAGTGAAATTAATAGGGCCACTTGGTCTGTGAAGGATTTTTCAGTTTTGGTAGGGGCATGAGTTTACGGCCATAAAAATCAGATCAAACAATAACAACAATTTAGGGAATGTTATATGCATCTATGGAAATGTAAAGTGCTATGCAAAACAGTGGACAATTGAACAATACACAATTCATGATAAGGCACAACTGAAAGGTAATTTTTATTGCCTGTGTAAGAACATGGTGACAACTAGAGAATTTCATACAAAATAAAAACCACTTTAGAAAAGCGGTTATTGCACCCAAGTCGGGCAGTCCTAACCACATTTTGGAGATTATTTTCCAAATGCCAAAGGCAGTTGTGTCATATTGAAAGCTTCACAGTTGCCAAATGCTGGGTAGAGTCCTGCAGTCCTTACAGGCCTCTTGTTTTCACTGAAATCGATAGAATTTTGGCTTGTGCAGGGCTGCGGGGAAACGTCCGGCGACGAACATGGGAAAGAAAGGACTTTGAGTGGTGAACTCCTTTGTTCTGTAACCTTAACTTTAACTTGGGAAGGCTCGTTTTGATTTGAGGAGGGTACTTGTTTGTGGGAAAGATTGCAGTTTCTACCACAAACACAAATGTGATCTTTTGCTAATGCCCTTGGGCGATAAATTTTTTTGCAGGAAGATCTAGTCCATGAGAGGGTTGGGGCTGGGTTCTCTGTTAGATGCATGCAGCTGCGACCAGACCCTTATGCATGCTTAACTTTATGTTCTGAAATACCTGCATAGTGGATGCAGACTGAAGCATGTACATAACTGTGTGTGCCTGGCTCTGAAAATCTTTCTGCCTTGACATAATTACAAACCCCTGAAAAGCATATTAATGACTTGGAAAAACTGACAATGCTGTAATACAGACTCATATGAATGACAAAGTATTTGTGTAACCCAAATAAACAGTTTTTGTAGGTGTTGGAGTGGGAGGGAAATTGCCTTTTCAGAAGTGGGAGGATGATTTGTAAATATATCAATAGCTTTTTGATCTCCCTTTGTTTAAATGTGTTTGTTGTTATGACTTACAAATCCAAATTAGTATAGTGATGTGTAATTGCAAGGTCTCTATTTTTAGTAACCATGTTCATTTAATAAATGATTCTTTAGAGCTTCTGTTGAACCAGGTAAAGTATATAATATTTTATATTACATGAATGTATTGAAAATGAAGCATTTTTACAGAATTAGCTAATAGGTGTTTTCATGGTAGAATACAGGCTGCCCTTACTTTGTTGCCCTCTATATGTCAACTGTTTTAAATGAGCAACTTATGAAACAGCCTTTGTTGAAGAATTAATACAGTTTTAAAGTACTGCCTTATATTAACTAAGAAAATGTGGGTAATTGATTTAGAATGATAGCGTTTCTGTCTTCCCTTTTTATTTAAAAGACTGCTATTATCATGCAAATGAAGGGGTGTGGTGCTTCAAACTGGCTGTGATATGTGCTTCTTCTTTTTTTTTTTTTTTTTTTTTTTTTTTTTTTCATTTGTTGTTGTCAATAGAAAAGATTGATCTCTGGGCTGGTGAACATAATATCTGTCCCAGTCAGAAAAGGAAAGAGGAAATTAGCAGAGCGATTGGTGGAGAATGATATCTGTCAAAAGAAACACTTGGAGAGCACTGAGTTTAGTGATAGGTGACTGCCGGAAAAAAGGGAACTTTGAATTTTGTCAAGGTAAGGAACAGAAAAATATTTGATTTTGTAATGTGCATACCTTTTAGAAGTTATTTTTAATGACTGTACCTTGCCTTGTAAACTGTAATTAAAAAAGAAATCTTTCCTTTTAGCCTTCAAAGAGTCTGCCTAAATCAATGAAGGTGGTGTCTTCATTTTCGTATTGCTGAGAAAGAGTACAGCAGTAACAATAAAATCCCTCAGTGATGACTTTTCTAAAATCTTCCTTAGCTTAAAAATACATGTATGTGAATTTTTTAACTGTGTTTTTGATGACGGAGGTGCTCTTTATCTAGCATGTAAATATTACTTGGCTGGGCTGTGAAAATAATAAAGTTCAGTTTCCTGAACTGTGAATTGGAACAGTATTTGCAACCAGGTTAAGGGACAATTGTAATCACATTGGCAAAATGGTTGCATTTGTAATTTAGAGGAACCCTCTGGTAAACCCATTGCATTGGGAATCTGTGATAAATTTGGTTGAGATGATATTGAGAATGGATATTTCAGCTTCTTGTGTGCAGAGATTTTTACCATACTGGAAAAGTAAATCTGCTATGACAGAAGTAAACTTCTAGATAACCTATGACTGTCATTCCTGTCTTTACTGTAACTGCATTTTTTCTCCTAAAATGGTGTGTCTAGATGGCAAGAAACTACTAAACTGATTTTAAGTGCTTTCCAAGACTCTGATACTTTCTTTCTCAGTGTTGGATCATTTCACCTATGACATACAGAATATGATACCGAAACCAAATGAACAATGTGTGAGTACTCTAGGCTATGCTCCGGTTAAAGGCAGCTAAGCCTTGACCATATCACTCGTCTTCCCACCCGAGACAGCGGCCCACGCTGCTCTGTCTGCGGGGTGTGGAAAGGAGATGGAGCACATCTGAGAGAGGCAGCAGGATGCTCTGCACATCATGTCATGGCAAGGGGAGGGGCTGGGGCTGAGGTTTTTTGCACTAGTGTGAACATACTTTTTAAAAATTAAATCCTATTAAAAATGAATTTTGCATTCTAATTCGAGTTCCTAGCTCAGTTTAAAACAAGTAAATGCTTCTCTGGGACCTTCCTGTACAGAGGCAGCGTTGGAAAAGAATGAATAATCTTAGCAGGTTTTCTTCTTGCATTTTTATTTTGCTAATTTAGCAGTGTATAGCTCCTGACTAGTTCTCTTTTTTCTATCTATAGTCTATTTTTCAAAGTGCAAGTGTACCCCATACAGGTGGTCGTTGGTTGGTTTCTTTTGCTGTATGGGTCTTCATAAAGGATTCTAAAAATAAATAAATGTGAAAGTAAGGATTTCATGCCTGAAGCATGCAGTGCTGGCATGCTAATGGGAAGCTTATTGTGGTTTATTGCTGTCAGAGCACGTGCAAGATAATGGAAATTTGCTACAACTTAGGAGAAAGGCATGTTTTCTAATACTATTTATTTTATAGAAAGAGGGAATTAATACGACTAAAATTCACTTCATCTTTGTAAGTCTAAATGATCTGGTTGTACTACTGAAATATTCATAAATGGGAGGGAAGAGCACATTATCCGTCTCGTTAACTGTCGGGCAGGTCAGGCTGCCTGTGTCACCTGGGTGCAGGCACATCCCTGCCATTGCGAAGTTGCTGTGTACTAAATATTCCCTTTCTTGTGCAGTTCTATCAGTGTAGCCTTATACCAAAACAAACACATCCTCTCTATAGCACAAGCTACAGGGTTAACAATATTGTATATTTTTCACCTTGGCCATGAAGATAATCCAAAACTGCTTTGTAGCTCTTTATAAAAGAGAGTGATCAGTGGTGGTTAGCAGCTGTTAGTTCTTTGGGCATTCCCACTTTGACATTTACTTGAAATGAGGTGACTGGATAAGGTACCTACATCTGGATGTGTATGTTTGTGTCACACGTTTGAAAATTTTAGTCTTAAATGGCCAAGAAGCTCCACAATGAAGTTTGGATGAGTGATTAGAGATGAGGCCAACACTCTTGGAGCTTACTTAATATGGACTTTGCTGTGCCCAAGAAGATTTGACTCGCTATTTGAAACCAGAATGGAATAAAAGGCAAAATAAAAGGTGTTTGAATCTATTGCCTCCTTGAAGCAACAGCCTCTTGTAGCTTTAGACTGCCTATGCTGATGTGATCCCTTTCAAGCATCCTCATCTTTGTTTTGCTATTGCAAACTCGTCTTTTCTTGGTTTCCTTTTTTTTATCTTCAAAACAATTGTTTGCTCACCTATGTATCTTAAAGAGTACAATGGAAATAATACACCCCCCCCCCCCCCACAATTTAACAGAGACAAAAAAGGAGGAGTGTATTGTAGACAGTGAATTGTTATTACACAGCTCACAATCAGATTTTCATCTGTTCATGTGGCGCACACCTGTGGCTTGCTGGCGTTGCTCTTGATTGGGATGTGAGAGATCTTAATGAAAAACAAAGCCGGAATGACAAGAAGAGACTCCACAGCACACACGGGTTACTTCACACATCGTAAGAAAGTGAAATTCAAAATACGCTGGTTTGGAGAGAATGCCTTGTGATGAGGGAGCATGCCTGGGTGACTCTGCAAAGGGAACCGGGGCCCTGCTCACTGCTGCCTTGCAAATAAGGTGTTTTTCTCTGTAGGTCAGGTTGATTTGGACCAGTTGAGAGCGGTGGCCGGTTTCTCCAGCTTACTTTCTGAGCCAGTAAGAGTATCCTGGGCAGGAATCCAGCTTCTGAAGTACAAAGAAAATAACCCATAATCTATATAAAATGCTGGCGGATGGAGAAGGGAGGAAATTTACAGAGAATAACTGCGTTTGAGAACAACAGTGTTAAAAGTAGAATGTAAGGGGAGTGTGTGTGGCATTAGTATTTATTTTAATTTGAAAATATGATCTTTGAAACCTTTGAGGTGAGCAGAGGATGAGCTCTCACAATATGATATATTTATTAGTAAACTGAAACCAAGCACTCGGTCTGAAGCTGAAGTTCCTTTTCCAAAGTGATTTTTCCCCCCTGAGTTTGCAGAGTTTGGGTTCTTTCTCCGTGACACCCCCCCCGCCCCCCTTTGTAATCTACTGTGGCTCTGATAACGTTAATGGGCTTTGCCCCACATGGAGCAGCGAGTGTATTGTACCACTGCTCACTGATCCCAGGTCAGTGTGATGCGTGAAATCAATTTATTTGAATCTCTTTGCCTGTATAGGAATTTGGCAGCGTGCCAGTTGTTTTCATTTAATGTTCTTTGTGTTGAACACAGACAAGCAGGCATGCTTTTGTACTCCTCTTTCTTCTGGGCTCTTCTCTTTTCAGTCAATATTCTATTCTGTGGATTTTTCAGAAAGAAGTAGGAATGTGTTACCTTTTTAAAAAATCATTTTTGTTTAAATAGCCTTTAAAGAGCATAGAAACTAGGTCAGTCATAGAGCAGCCTGTGTAGGGTTTTCACCAAGTATAGGTGGTAACACCTGCCTTTTCCCGTTTCTTAAATTTGGGGGAAAAGAGAGAGAAAACACTGGTCTGTTTTTCTAATGCCTGGTTCTATGATTTATGTCGTCTTGTAAGACAAAGGCTCTTCAATAATGTTTAAATCAGAATAATTTTTGTTCGAATTAAGTGAATGTCTGGCAATTGGTTGGACGAATCGGAAATACTTTTCAGGATCTTTTTCATTTTGAGTGATGACCTTAAAGTAAGAGTTAATTTGGGAATCCCTTGCCTCATCTTTCTGTCTGTTCTTCCCCTCCCCCAGATGTTTAATATTTTGAATGGCTGGCTGAAGAACAGCTACCCAAAAGTACCCACTTCTTTCCTTTTTTCCTTCTTTTTATGAGAAAGCAGCAAGGCATGTGGAACAGAGCAAGTAATTTTGCCCTTCTTAAATAGGGAGGGAAAAAAAAAAAGGACTAGGCAGCAGCAGATATTTCCAGGAGGATTTGTTTTAGAGCTTGGTGTCGGGAGCAGGAGAGGCGGCGAGCGGGAGTCGAAGACTGTTGATGCTCCGGGCGGTTCGTGCGGAAGTTGATATGCAGAACTGCGGAGCCGCGGCGCAGGGGTCAGACTCGTACACATCAGCCCCGTTTCCTTGTTTAATTACCTGAAGAGCAAAACATCCAGACTGGGAGTGTGTGAAAACCCAGTATCTCGAACAGCAGTTTGCTGCTCTGACATCCTGCGAGGCCAGCCCCGTCTGTCCGCAAACGTCAGGGCTGGTTCCTGACAGCGGGCTATCTCTGCCGGGCCTGGGTTCCTTCCATTCAGGAGGCATTGTGTGGAAGAGGGTTTGGTCAGGAATTTGAGGTTCCTGCCGGTTCTTCCAGCCCGGACAGCCCTGTGACAGATAGGCCTGATTTTTTCTTTTAAAGAATAATAAAAAAAAATTGGCTCTTTTTAGTCTTTCCCTTGTAATTCTGGCATTGGTAGAATACCGACTGAAACAAAACATGTTAACCCTTTCGCTTCTGAATTTGCAGCTTTCCCCTTTTACTTTGTTCTTGCTCCCCTTGCTCGACCTCTTTTATTTTCAGAGGTAAAATCTTCTGAGGAGCAAATTCTTTCAGGTGGCGTTTGTGCTATGCAGCAAATAAACTGTCGAAAATGTTAATTGTTTTTGTAGTGATCATTAACGTAATCATCATTCTTGGCATTTTAAGTTTTTTGTTTTCAGCGTTCTTGGCAACATTCTTTTTATTCATCCCATGGATTCAAACCAACTCAGTGTTTGTTCTGGCATGGCCCATTAAAACAGTGGTGGCAGCTATCAACGCTTCCATTCTCATTATTCATGTGATTTTCTTAGATGTCCAGCTTGGTGTTCAATTTTAGAACACTGGGATAGGGTCAGTTATAGTCCTTGCCCCTTGTAGCTGCTGTTTGTTGAGGTCACTCAACAGGCTGAAGGTGCGGGTGCACGAGGCAGGGCTCTATTCACCGGTCAGGTTTTAGCCTGTAGTTGGAAAGTGTTCAACAGGATGTAAAACTAAAGATCATAGCTGAAAGAGACTGAAATG